TCAGTCCCTTTTATCTTAAAATTTTTACTGTCTCTCTCTCTCTCTCTCTCTCTCTCTCTCTCTCTCTCTTTCTCTTCTTACTCTTGCACTTTCCCTTTTTTCCATTAGCTTTTTCTGAACATGACCAAGACTCTTTCTCTCTCCCTCTCTCTCTCTCTCTCTGATAAAATCCTGGACTCTAATGTGTCAAATGTCTGTGTTGTGGATCTCAGGGGGATGTTGGTCCAGCGGGACTCAGGGGCAGTCCGGCCGTTCAGTTTAATGCACCAGCAATAAGCACTATCAACAAAGGAGAGAAGGTAACACACAGGGGAGTGGTGATGCCAACCCAGGGAGAGGCACTGCCAGGGTGAGAGGGTGTGGATGGTGGGGGAGAGAGGAGCATTAGAGGGCACTGAGCCACATCATCGCTCCAGGGAAAATGGTCTGGAATATTCTGACAGTTTATCAATTGGGACTGATATTTGTAAACACCTTTATTATGAGAATGTTTTCTGAATACACATCATAGAAACCCTGACAGTTAATAGAGGGGGGATGGTTAGTTGCATAATGATTGAATGGGGAGAGATAACGGCACATCTATTGTGTTAAATATGTGGTTCATTACCAAAGCTCCTTCATTCTGCCTATGTCCATTCATCTCCTCCTCACCCTGATCTCCCTGCTGCTCCAGCAGTGGTCACAGTCCTTTTAACATCCTTCTTCAAAATGCAAAAAACTTACCACATGCCACCTCTTCAACATGCTCCGCCGCTACCGTCTCCAAACAGCCTCCCCATCACACCTCATCTTGTCCCATATAAAAAAAAATCTCTCTTCCTTGGTTACCGTGTCCAGGGAGATGTGGGCTCGCCCGGTGACCCAGGCCTCCCACTGGTCAATGGAGTGGTGGAGCTTGTTGGCTTTCCAAAAGGAGACAAGGGAACTAAGGTTTGTGAGGAAAATGCAGCTGTGAGGATCTAAACCTAGGATGAAGTCAATCGACACCGTCCTCCTCAAAATCTTTTCTACAGTTTCTTTGTCCCCTTGTACCCCAGACCTGCTATCCAGGAGGGTGACATCCACTTTGTGCTTGATGTATACATGCCATACTTCACCCTGTGGTGAACATTGAGGCTGGTGTCCGTAAAGTCTTCATATTTGTTGGTGATTTCATTCACATGTTCCAAAAATGCTTAAATTATGTGTGCATATTTACAGTGGCCCTAAAGGGACACTTCAGCCACGCTTACAAATGTATAAATATCACTAATCATCTAATGTAGATAATGGTAGATAATATCTTGTTTTAATGCAAAGTAATACATTTGTGTGAAAGTTGTTGGTTCAAGTGTTAAATTAGTTTTTTGAAATTGTATACTTCCATTTAATGATTTACACTATTAAGATTTTTTTTAATAAATACTTTTATTCAGCAAGGATGAATTATTCGATCTCAAATGACAACAATGACATTTATAATGTTACAAAAGATTTCTATTTCAAACAATTTCTGTTCTTTTGAACGTTCTGTTCATAAAACAATCCTGAAAAAATGATCACAGTTTCCACAAAGCAGAATTTTAATTAATAGTATGTTAAGCTGCTAAACTGTTTTCTGCATTCATAACGATACAAAATGTTTCTTAAGCACCAAACAAAATAGAAAGCAGTTATTTGGTATAATACTGTATGTCACAGTACTGTTTTTATTGTATTTTCGAGCTTAAAGTTTTGAACGTTTTTTTTTTATTTTTATTATGTAGGTGTTAAAATTTATGATTCTTGTTTGTTTCATTTGGAGCCCAAATCACAACACAGGACGTTCAACTGAATTGAAATCTGTAGATTTCATGCATAGATTTGTGTACATCAATAAATTGCTGCATATTGTATTAAATATTGTGTAATATTTCTTCACCATAGAAATATCAGTATCATTGAATTTTTGTCTTTTCTGCATTCACAGTACATATTCTTCACATACTGATTATCATTTATATGCCATTTTTTTACAATAAAATACTAAAATATGGAGAAAAAATGTTTAAAGTTTAGATACCTTCAAAGCTCAGTTGATTTTCAGGTGTAAAATCTGCTTAATCCCCAGCCCAGTCACAATTGTTTTTTTGTTTTTTTTAAACACAAAGTGACATTATGAATTCTCAGTCTTCTTCCTTCTCTTTCACTCTCTCTTTCTTCCTCAGGGTGATAAAGGCTATGATGGTACTCCAGGTTTTCCAGGGAGATCAGGACCACCAGTGAGTAATCAAAGACAGCTTGTTACCCCAATTCATGTTTGATATGTTGTTGTTTGAAACTGACATTCACATTTCTTCATTTCTTATGCATATATAGGGCCCATTTGGGTATAGAGGTGAAACTGGAGAAAAGGGAATCCTGGGCTTGCCAGGCTTAAGGGTAGGGGATGTTACTGCTACATTTTGTGATTCACCATAGGGTACAACATTTCAGAAGATTTTACACATCTTCTTTTGTTTGTTTATACTGTATTAGAAAATTAAGTATACATTTTACATTTATATTTTATTAGTTTCAAATCAAAATTGAATTTCTTCTTCTGTATTGTTCAACATGGCAGGGTCCACCTGCTCTGAACGGTTCTCCTGGCCTTCCTGGGATAAAAGTAAGATATGAAACGCTTTACTTTAAACAGTTTTCCTCTTATATTTTCATTAGATACCAACCATCTTCTGTCTCCTCTGTAGGGCTTCCCTGGGACTCAGGGTTTTCTGGGACAACCAGGTTTTTCTGGCCCAAAAGTAAGAACAGAGAACAGGAAAAACATAAATATATATTTCAAAACAGAAATATGTTACACAATAGCATATTGTACTGTAAATATATTTTTAGGGTGACAGGGGAGACCCAGGTCCACCTGGGCCGATTGTGGAACCAGAAGTTGGAATTAAAGGTATCAGGAATCACCATCATTTCATTCATAGAGGTTGCATTCATTTTTACTAATTTTTATTTTTTTTTATACACTTTCGTGATCTTATATGTGGTAATTGCTTCTTCTAATCTCTCATGCACATGGTCACTCGTATGTATGCTGATGTACAGTCTTCAGAGATTGTTCAATTTACTTGTGCCTAGGTCCTCCAGGTGATCCTGGCTTTCCTGGTTATCCGGGGATAACTGGAGATACGGGTTTTCCAGGGCTTCCTGGTCAGCCTGGTTCTCCTGGAGCGCCTGCTTTTCTCACAGGTACTAGTGGAAAAACTTTTGCATTTTAAGGCTTTATGGCTCAAATCATACAGCTTGTTGAAGAGTATGATCTACAGTATTGCTTTAGTAACAAGAAGCCATGGTCAACACATTAGACTGGAGAGCACATGGTACATAGAAACAAATATGACAGAATCTATGTCCTACCCTCAAAAATGACTCTTGGTTTTCTATTCAGGTCGTCCAGGCATCCCTGGGTTCCCCGGTAGTCGTGGACCCAAAGGACAGAGGGGAAACCGAGGTCGGAATTCTTATGGTCCTGAAGGTCTTCCTGGAAATCAGGGCCTTTCTGGACCTCCAGGTCTCCCTGGGCCACCGGGCAGTACACGTAAGCCTTTGCAGAAGATGATTTCATGAAACTTAACAATTTGACAAATTAGATCCCACCAAGAAAGTAATTTTTGTGGGTCACATCAAACAGAAGTAGATCCTTGGGGTAGCAGATGCAGGTTGCCACTTTTCTTATTTTATCTTTCTATCTAGCAAACCAGTTCTCCGCTGGACAACCTGGTTTTCCAGGTCAGCCTGGTCCGAGAGGACTTCCTGGAGACAGAGGCTTTAAAGGGTTTAAAGGTAAGGCTCACTCACTCAAACTGAAATGAGAAGTATATGGTTTAATTTAGACAATTATGTTGAATGGCACTCTTAGACTTATTTCCTACTTGACTCTGTGCCCTTGCAGGAGAAAATGGTGACTGCAACTGTTTGGGTGGAGGAACGATTGGTGCACAGGGACCTCAAGGGCCTCCAGGGCCCCTGGGTATTACAGGCCTCAATGGTGCGAAGGGAGAAATTGGTGATCCAGGCTTCCCAGGACCCCGAGGTCCACAGGGCTTTGATGTAAGATATTAATTATTAAAACATTAGCTTGGATCAATTGGGCTAATGCCTTGATGTTTTTTGGGGGGTACTGAATGATGTTACATGGAGAGGTAGCAACTGGAGAGGTTTTGTTGTTTCTTTAGATGTCAGGTGCAATGCATTGAATACCATATTGTCTTATTGATCCCTGAGAAACATTGGGATCATCACGTAACTTCCGAAATTGTTTAAAATTATAGGTCTTGCTTTGCTTTTTGTTTTAGGGTCGTGCAGGTGATAGAGGCTTTAGAGGGCGTAAAGGAGAGAAAGGTAATACTTTCTTCCCAGAAGGCAGTATACAAAAAGGTGATATGGGTCAACAAGGTCCTCCTGGACCACTTGGAGCAAGCGGCAACTCCGGAAGCGATGGATCTCCTGGCTTCCCTGGACAACCAGGCCCACCTGTGAGTAATTTTTCCTTTTCCTAATTTTCCTTTTTCTTACTGTCATTTCATTTTATCAGCTCTTTAGTTACTGCCAAAGAAGACGTGTGGTTCTTATTGCTTGTAGTCATTCTGATTCTGGCTTTCAACCAGTGAGATCTTTAAATTTCTAAGTTCTTTCTTTCAGGGGGAGCCTGGTTTTGGGGTGACTGGAGATAAAGGTTTTCCAGGTATTCCAGGGTCCAAAGGTCGTCCTGGTGACAGGGGCGAACCTGGTATTGGCTATCCTGGTGTAGCTGGGTTCAAAGGGTCACAAGGTGATCCTGGATTCAATGGTTTTCCTGGAACACCTGGACCTACAGGTTCTCCAGGTAAGTAGAAGAAACACCTCAGTAAAACTTTAACAATAAGTACACCGTCTAAAATATTTAATTATATAAAAAAATACAGATTATGTGATATTATTTCTAAATTATTATTAAAGATTAATAATTTCGCATGTAATGTATACGATACATTTTTTAAACAACTCATATTCATATACAGTGAATTGGATGTACACAAATGAAGGTAGTATTTTGTCAATCCAAGCCTTCTCAATCTCCTCAAGAGGCCCACTTAGCATATTAAGCTTGTTTTGTGAGTTTACAGTACAATATTAAACAGAATAAGATGAGCTGGGCTGAAAGAGATTCAGTTTAGAGGTTGCTATACCTCATTTTAACAAGCTTTGGACGTGTGAGAGTGAATTGGTGTGCAAATGAATCTTTATATTTTGCCTGTGCTAACAGAACTTTTGACCTATTTGCAAGCCATTCCATTCAGAGAGAAATTGAGCAGGTGCAATTAAATCATAACAAGTCTTAACATCCATGTCTGAATCACCAAATCCTTTCACTTCTCTGCATGCTCTCCATCTCTCTCTCTTAGTAATGGAATGGCATTGACACAGCCATGCACATGTTCCCCTTTTGATTTCTTTATTTGCACTGCTTTAACCGAATGTGCTGGAATTTTTGAGCTCTAGAATTCTCTACTACAGGTACAAACATTTTCATGCTAATGCATTTGATTTCTTATTGATGCTGCCCGGATGAACTGATTCATCAACCGATTGATTGACAGCTTCTCTTGCAATCTCTCTTGCCCTTGCATGTTGTCTGACTAGGTGACAGCTGTGGGCAGGCGGGGCTTAATGATGCCTCTTTGGAAGAGGGAGGTGAGATATGAAGCCCAGAGCTGCAGCCAGTACAAAATAAATCAACATTTTCCAATGGCCTGACTGTATCAGACAGCTTAACTGTAGAGTGTCCACCAAACCTGGCCATACTTGACCTTCATTATGACTTCCCTATAGCTTGAAATGTCTAATCCAGTTAGTCTCTTGCCATTCTGGAAAAGTGGTAGTTGCCATGTAACAGCCCTTTTTTGCCAGTCATTTAACAATCTTTGTGCATGTTATTAGCCCTTCTATACTGACTTTACTGGGGGCAAATGTGGTTATTTTCTTTCTCTTTTTTCTTTTTTTTTTTTCGAGTATGAAATTAAACTTTTATCAGATTTTGAAGACTCTAGTACACCATCAAAGGCCCATTACTCAAATTTGCTTTGCAAACCCTTTGTAGCGACACAACATTAGTCCCAACACTTGTTGACCTTGGTCACAAACACCCATGACATATCATCGATTACCACAGAAGATATTTAGGCTAATCCTTCACAAACAAAAATTGCCTCTACATGCACGTACAATGAAAGTCTATGCAGCAATGTATTGCAGCACTAAAATACACACTGTTATGTGTTATTATGAGCCTAGATGGATAAAATTATGCATAAAGCTCTATCACTTAGTCAAGTCAAGTCACCTTTATTTATATAGCGCTTTTAACAATACAGATTGTGTCAAAGCAACTGTACAGCATGTATTAGGAAAATAGTGTCATTAAAGGGGTCCTATTATGCTTTTTCACTTTTTCAACTTTAGTTAGTCTGTAATGTTGCTGTTTGAGCATAAAAAAAGATCTGCAAAGTTACAAAGCTCAAAGTCCACTTCAAAAGGAGGTATTTTATTTAACAGAAATCACTTCAAAAACTACAACGAACGACTCGTTTGGACTACAACGCATATTTTCCGGGATTTGTGATATCACAAATATCGACGAATGGGACGAGACCTGGTTGAGCTGCAGTAGAGAAGGCAACGAGTGTGTGACGAGTGGGGGCGGGGCCGAGAGCCGTGGGAACGGAGCGAGGCCGGTGCAGTAATTGATAATGAGCGACACCTGCACCACTCACCGGTCTCGAGTCCCACGGAGGAGCTCCGGAAGGATAAAAGGAGGAGTGACGACAGTGAAAGGAGAGAGGACCAGGCCTGGATTTTATTTTATGTTTTGTGTGTGGCAGTCGTCCGCGAGGGGCTGCCGCTTTACTTTCTATTAAAGTATTTAAATGTTCGCCGGTTCCTGCCTCCTTCTTCCCGGGTTTCGGCACCAATGTAATAATAAAGTTTGTAGTTCGGGAAGAAGGAGGCGGGAACCGGCGAACATTTAAATACTTTAATAACATAAACAAACACAAAATGAAAGTATAGCGGCAGCCCCTTGTGGACGACTGCCGCACACAAAACACAAAATAAAGTCCAGGCCTGGTCCTCTCTCGTCCAACGCCCCTCGCGGACGACTGCCGAAACCTAAACACAAAATAAAATCCAGGCCTCTCTCCTTTCACTGTCGTCACTCCTCCTTTTATCCTTCCGGAGCATCTCCGTGGGACTCGAGACCAGTGAGTGGTCCAGGTGTCGCTCATTATCAATTACTGCACCGGCCTCGCTCCGTTCCCATGGCTCTCGGCCCCGCCCCCACTCGTCACAGAGTGTTATCACTATGTTGGAGACACGCTAGCTTTCCCAAGGCAGACGAACTTAGAGTGGTTACAA